GCCAGCTGATAAGCCAGCTGCTGGGATACGGCCAGCACGGCTTCTGGGGCAGCAGCTCTCGTGGGAGCCCTTCTGCTCCAGAGAGGGGTCCTCCGGAGCCCCTTGACTTGCACTGGGGAACCGTCAAACTGAGGTCGTCGGTCATGAGACAGCAGCATCAGCATCCCCTGCCCCTGAGCCCTGCTGCCACAGAGAGCCTGGTGCTGCTGCCAGCTGGCAGGGATGGCTGCGGGGAGCTGCAGGCTGCAATGGATGGGGCACCCTTCACCTCCACCCATATATCCTTTGGGGGCAGCTGGAGAGGCCCCTGGGCTTGGGTGGAGCTAGAGAGGTCCCTAGGCTTGGACATGCTCCCCTTGTCGTCCGGAGCCACAGCTCGGCACAGCCCCTGCCGGTCTTCCAAGGGCCAGGGTACCCGCTGCTCCCTAAAAAGGGGTGTGCAGGAAAGGGGTCCTAAGCCGTGGAGGGGCACTGCTGCTCCTCAGGGTTGGTTAGATGCCGTAGTGTAGCTGGGGGTAGAAGTCAGGAGCTCCCAAGCCTGCTCTTAGGCCATCCTGGTGGTCCTGTCATCCTATGCCAAGAACAGGTGTCTCATGGAAATCCCTGTTCCTACCAGCCTGGGAAGCACTGTGGGGGGCAGCAGCTTCCCTGGGGATGCCAAAGGGAAAAGCCAGCGGCTGCCCAGGCAGGGATGGACCCCCTCCACCCTGCTGCCAGGCTGTGGCGGGGGGTTATCGTGGGCACCAGGCATGTGCATGCCAGGGCCAGTGCTCAGGGACACACCGAGCTGGTCGGGCTGCTGCGTGCAGACTTTCCTTGACCCCGAGGCAGATGCAGGAGGCGCTGACCCCCGGCCACCTGAAGAAGGCCAAGCTGATGTTTTTTTTCACCCGCTACCCCAGCTCCACTCTGCTGAAGACCTACTTCCTCGATGTGCAGGTAAAATGGCAGCACCCAGTGCTGGTGCCAGGCAGGACTCCTGTGCGGCACGGCACCCAGCCTGCCTCGCTGGGGAACCGTGGGGAAGGGTATGCTCTCATGTCCCCCTGCCTCAATAGCAGGAGCGAGGGGATGGCACCCACTTCAGCACGGGCTGCCCTGGAGCGGGTGCTTGGGGCTGCAGCAGACCTGGGCTGCCAGGTCTTCACTCTGTGCAATTGAGGCGTTGGGATTAAAGCATATCACAAACGTGCCTCCTCACTGCAGGGCATCTGGGATCCAAATCTCAGCGGGGAGAGTCACCGCGGACACCCCCACGTCACGGTCCTGGCTGGTGCTTTTGCACCCCTGAGGCAGGGCTGGGTTTGGGGCCAGGCCAGCGGTGTGTGGCTGGGCTTGCGGGGGCTCATGGGTCGGGAGGCTCCAAGCTGGCATAATGCCTGTCCTCCGGCTCTCCCCCCCGGCAGTTCAGCCGCTGCATCACCTCCCAGCTCATCAAGTGGTTCAGCAACTTCCGTGAGTTTTACTACATCCAGGTGGAGAAGTTTGCCCGGCAGGCCCTGCTGGAGGGCGTCGTGGATGCCAGCACCCTCCGGGTCTCCCGGGACTCAGAGCTTTTCCGCGCCCTCAACATGCACTATAACAAGGGGAATGACTTCGAGGTGAGGAGGGGGAGCCGGGGGGAGATTTTTTTTCGGGGGGGCCGGGGCGGTTCCTGGAGGTGGCCAGCCTGACGCTGCGGGAGTTCTTCAGCGCCGTCAGGGTGGGCAAGGACGCCGACCCCTCCTGGAAGAAACCCATTTACAAAATCATTTCCAAACTGGACAGCGACATCCCAGAAGGGTTCAAAGCTGCCGGCTGCTCCCAGGAACTGCTCCGCAGCTGAGTTTCTGTGAAAGCAGCCCCGGGTCCTGTGTGCAGCCACCATGTGCTAAGCACCTCATGGGCATTCTGTACAGCATCCATTATTCTGAGTATTTTCTCTCTGGCCTGTAAGACAGCTCCTTGGGTGAGGTCTATCACTTGCCTCAGGTGCTGGGATTTTATGCTGTGTGTTTTATTCCCCTGCTCAAAGCCGGTGGGGTCCTGCCGGAGACCCTCAGAGCGGAGGGATGGGGATGAAGCCATCTGGTTGGAGCCTGGGAAATCGCCCTGCCCCAGCTCTCCCCGTGACCCTGGGCGAGCCACCTTCCTTCTCTTCTCCAGAGGGCCACAGATTAGGGCAAACAGCCTTTCTGTTTATAAAGCAAGCAGAGGTCCTAGCAGCGGGCAAAGTTTTCTTGGCGCAGCAGACCGGTGAATGTGCCTGGTCCAACAGCACGCCTCGGTTTCTGTCCAGATACAACATGCTAGTGTCCAAAGAAAACAGCTGGTGAATTCCAGCATTTCAAGCACCCCATGGGGATGGTTGACCCTGTCTGGGAGATGTAAAAACAGTGTTTGTTTTAGCTGGCATGAACAACACTCCCCCCTGCCTCCCCTGGCAAGAGCCCCCCATGCAGCTGCGCGCTGCGGCCAAGCAGGTGAGTATGTGCTGGTGGAAGCAGCCCAGGAGCGACCGCTCACCAGCAGTGTTACCCGTGATGCTGGAGGAGAGCAGGGTGCACAGCCGGCACCACTCAGCCCCACAACCAGCCCCCGTCAGCTCATCACCTGGGAGGAGAGTGCCATGTTAAACACCCACCAGTGTCCCCTTACACCATCCGGCACCACTCAGCCCCACAACCAGCCCCTGTCAGCTCATCACCTGGGAGGAGCTTCTGCTGGCAAAACTGCCCCAAACATCTTGGCTCTGCAACCTGCCCATGGTGAAAGAGGAGCATATTATTTGGGACCTGTCAGTCCCTGTGGGTTTTAACACAAACCAGTGAGGAGCTGGGCCCTGAGGTCTGCAGCCCCATTGCTGTAGGGGTGTAAACCCAAGGAGGTTTCTTTTCCCTGTGACCAGGACTCAGTGGCCACTTTTCCACCTGATGGAGCGTGGCGAAGTGTTTTGTGTTAAGGGCTCTCTCGTCCTGGCAGAGGCGGCGGTGGGGAGGGAAAGGCTGTGAAGAGGAGGGAGGTCCTGGGAGAGGGTAGTGATGCGTAATTGTGGATGAGCAACAATATCCCCGTGCAGAAGGCTCGGGGTGAAGAGGACTGGGAGGAGGTCAAGATGATGTTGGATGTGCCGCAAGGTGCCAGCTGTGTACTAGAGCACAGCAAGTGACACAGGAGAGGAAAATCACAGCTCCAGCATCAGACGAGCGCACGGGGTGATCCGCCGGCAGTGCGTCTGCAGGGGTAAGGAAGCACGTGATAATATCAAGGCAGGATGGGGTCTCCAAAATAGGAGCAGTTTTATAGTGGCTCCCCCCGTTGCCAGTGCGGCTAGCCAGATTTCCTGCTTCTGTTTGTATGTTCATTTCTTGAGGTTTGTATATTTTACAACCCCAACACCAAATTTACTCAATCCATTTTTAAATAAACACATAGTTTAAGTTACCCCTTTACATCCCTAGAGACCTATTTGAGAACTTCTGCTCTGAAGCGCTACCCTGGGAATTTCTTGCCTTTTGTTGGGAAAAGAGTAACACTGCAGCAAAAGGGCTTACTCCTCCTGCTGGCATCCCTGTGGGGCCGAGCAGCCCCCACCAACCAACGTGCTCGTTTAAACCCTCACCCCAATGCCTCGGGGTCAGTCTGCTCTGAAGTGCAACTTGTTGGGAGGGTCAGGAAGAGGGGGCTGGAGGCGGACGGAGACACATCCCAAAGCTTACGGGTGCCAGACTCAAATGTACAGCATCTGAGAAGTGCTGCTGGTGGCACCATGAAGGACAAGACGGTGCTGTTCCTGCAGGCAGTAACTACCTCAGAGCTTAAGTAATGCATTGGGTAGACAAAACTGACACTGCTGGAAAAGGAAATGATGGCCTGGCTCAGGGAAGGCGTTAGTAAATTCTTTTGGCTGTAGCTAAACAGTTAGGGGACACAAGATACAGGTTTACTGGACACCCTGCTGGAACAAACCCCTTTTACACAGAGCCCCTGGGGGAGCAGTTTCGTGCTTCCTCTGCTAACATGCAAGTTCATGGGTGTCAGTGAAGTGGCAGGTGGGGGGCTGAGGGCAAGGCAATGCCCCAAATCACAGAGTCATGGAGTGGCTGAGGTTGGAAGGGACCTCTGAGGTCATTGGGCCCAAGACTCTGCCCAAGCAGGGCCGCCGAGAGCCAGTTGCCCAGGACCATGACTGGCTTTTGAATATCTCCAAGGAGGGAGACTCCACAACCCAATCATTAACGAAGATGTTGAACAGGATTGGACCCAGTATTTGGAGCAGTATTTTTGCTCCAGTGTTTGCCATATAACTGCAAGGAAGTGGGAACTACGGAGCTGTGTTTTACACTGGCTTTTGTGAAACATGGACCAGCATGACCACAACAAACAGCATCTCACATCGGTTATCCCTTGCCTGTGATGAGGCCTCGCCACTTGTATCCACGGGTTGAATTCTGCTCGGGCAGATTTTCCATCCAACAGAAATAGGAAAAAAAAAGCAGGGCTAGAGAGACTCTGCGAAGGACACGAGACCACAGGGCACTTGTCTGGCTGGCATCTTCCCCAGCAGCTTTTCAACTCCCTGCCCACATTCAGCCAAGTGTGGCAGAGAACACAGAGGTGTCAGGGATGCAGAGGGAGCATCTACCCACCTTTTGGTCACTCCACGCTCTGTCTGCAAGCAGAGTTCCTGTCTGGGGAGCCTGGGGTGCAGCTGCCTCCTCCAGGGGTGCTCATCTGCCCGGAGCAAGGGGGTGGCACCCAGGCAGGCACAGCTCTGCTGCGCAACGCTGAAGTGGGGTGAGCTGAATCACAGCCCCGTGCTCCTGCGAGAGCCTTGGAAAGCAGCAGCTGGCCGGCAGAGAAGGAAGGGGGGACTCACGCTGCCTTCCCTCCATCTAGGTCATAGGAGCACGGGATATGGAGAAGGCAGCACATCTGCTGGGACGCAGGGAGAGCTGGGGTTACTCTAGGGGCGATGGAGCCTGAAGTATAAGGGAAATAGGGTGTGAATTCTTAAGAAATTTGGGGTTCACTGGTTGTGCTGTGCAGGGTATGGTGTGTAATTTCATTTACATTCTAGTGGTGCCCAAGATATAGCAGCTAGTTTTCAAACAACAAGTAATGGGTGCCTGTCACAGGGAGATTTCTACTGACAAAATGGGTCTGCTTGGAGGGCTGGGGGGAGAAGGGAGAGCCACTGCCCACACAGTGACTACGGTTGTGACCTTCAGGCTTGGGTGGGCTCTTGCTTCACCATTTCCCGCTAATTACCCAAGGAAGCAATGGGGGTGGTGCACTCACCTACTGCTGACTCGGTTTCACCTTTAAAAAAGAAAAAAAAATCCTTTCCTTCCCTCTCTCCGAATTTCTGTGGTATATGCAAAAAGCCCACAGCCACCTGTAACTGTCTCCTCTGGGAACAATTCCTCGGGGCTATCCTTTTACATTTCCAATTGCGTTCATAACCCACCCACAGCAATGCACCCAGTCCACACTGCTAAACAGCAGCAACGACTGCCAAGGGCTAAAAATCGCCGTTTCCTGCCTCCAGGCTGCCGGTGTCCTGTAGCAGCAGAAAGAGGGAGATGTGACCACACTGACTAAGCTGGCGAGGCCCCGAGAGCCCTTACGTACTCATCTATGTTATTACTCACCATAAGAACCCTTATTACTCATGTACAGCTAATTAGAGCTTGAAGAAGTTCCTAGTGAATGTTCATCCCAGGTGCCAAAATAGCTTGGGGGGAAACTGACAAGCAATGAAACATCTCTGTTTTTTCTTTACTTATGCTAATCACTCGGTCCTGTCTGCAGTGAGGTCCAATCAGCCCTAGAGATTCGCAGCTCAAGCAGATGTTCTTGAGAGGGACCTTCCCTCAAACACACATCTCAGATACATATTTGGCATCAGGGCAGCTCTCTCCAGGTAAGCATCCCCTGGGGAGCCAGTGGCCCATGCTCATGAATCTCAGCAACATTTGCTGTCCCATTATATGCATTAGAAGGACGGATTGTACAAATACCACGTTTGAGAGATTCAACATCACTTTTCAGCTGGAGAAGATACCCCTTTCTCTGCCTCTGGTGCACAGAGCTGCCCTGTGCTGCAGTCCGAGCGCCACTCCAGGGGAAGGTGAAGCGATGCACAGAGAGACTGTGGAGATCAGTCTCAAGGATAAAACACCCTGTGGGGTCCCCCAGGACAGTCTGGCATCTCTAGCTGGTAGCAAAAGCTTTTTCTTTTTGCACACCAAGAAATATCGTATTAGTGTGAGCCATGGACCAGGGGATGGGAACTGGGGAGTGGAGCTAGCCAGGTGCCAGCTTCACAGCAGCAGCTCGTTGAGCTGTTCTCCCTTGACTTAGGCAATGAAAAGCCCCGTTTTGATGAGACAGTGGCAATGGAGCCACACAGACAGGGCTGCACTCTCCCTTCTGGGGAGCCCCGGCTCACCAGCCTGCCTGCAGCAGCTTGGGTGCAAGCACTAAAGCCTGGGTGCAGAGGTGAGCAGGGTGGAGAAGGGAGACATCTCACAGAGAGCTCTGCCAGGCGGGCAGGCACCGGGACAGGAAGGCCACTGTGTAGCCCAGGGGCTTTCAAGGGAGGTATTTACTCTGAGCAAGGGTGCACAAAGGACTGAGAGGATAGTCAGCCTCTGCTGGAAGCTGAGCGCAGACTCGCCTCCACCACCCAAAGCCAGCAGGTTGGCTGAGGGTAATGCTTGTCTTGGAGGGGAGGCAGCTGGGGTGGGAGAAGGTGGGAGGCAGGCTCCAGAGAACAAGCACATGTGTTCATGCATAGATAAATACCAAACTAGTAAATCCATTTTTAAAAGCGGACCTGAT